AAAAATAAGAACCAAGAGAGATTATGTGAAGGTGCAAATTTCCAATGATGAATGTCATTATATTGTATACCTAAAATGTACCAATTAAAAAAAAAAAAAAGGGTGATAGCCTGACAAAGCATTCTTCCACACATGGCTGTTCTTTAATATCTCCCTGCAGAAAGTTTTTGTCATGCCAAACATGGATGATGTTTATATCCCTATAATGCACTCGGCCATGGACCCTCGCTCTACTTCCTGTCTCCTGAAAGACCCACCTGTGGAGGCTGCTGATCGGCTGTAATGGGTGATGATGGGATGTTCCCTGTATTATGAGACCTAGCTCAACATATGGAGTTCCTGGCCACCATTTGTGCTGTGGCACTGGCCTTTACTTGTGCCACAGTACTGTCTCTTTAGACTGCTTCTGCCCTCTGCCTGCTGGTGCCCATTCCACTGTGAGGTGTCATTCCCTGCATCCGATGACAGGCGTCTGGACTGCTTGCTGCAAAGCTTGGACTTGGCAAAGGAGACTGAAGAATCATCATGGTGGACCCAGAAGTTACACGTGATTCACATTGTGGCTTTTTAAAGGTCTACCAGTTTCTGTGGCAGCAAACAGCACATCCAGAGGGAAGCTGTACAACTGAAAGACTTCCCCTCGCCTCCTGGACTCCTCCAAAGCTTTTCCTCCGGCAGCTGGTGCACAGTGGAACATTTTTTCACTCTACTTTGTACATGTGATTGCAGCCCTCCATGCTCCAAGCATGTCAATGTGATTACATGTGTGGGGAGTGGAATCCTGTGACCCACGTCATTGGTGGTAAAGAGGCATAGCAACTTACTTTTCTTCATTTTAAATTATGCATTTTGGAAGCAATTGCCATAGAACACACAAAAACAACTTTCAGCTGGGGTGGAGACAGTGGGATTTATGTGAACAGTAGGCAAAGCCATGAGATCAAACTATCCAAAGCCTTTTACCAATGAGGTACAATCATCTTGCTTCTAACTAATCCTCATTGTTTTCCTGAGACAGGAGCATATGTGACAATAACAAATACTTCACACAAGGACTGATTGTTCTTCCCTAGTCCAGATGGGTTGGGCCTAAAGACCCAGATTTCCTGTGTGCTCTAGGAAGCTTCATATAGGAAGGAGAATGCTTTGTTCATCTAATTGACTTGGCAAAGTTTTGTGGGCAGTTTCCTTTTCCGATGGCCAAAACAGAACTGCTCAACTGCTGCCTGCTTTTGAGTCAAGGCTAAAGTTTGCCTCCCATCAAACACTACGTATCTCAAAATACACGTGACCTTCCTTTAATATTGCCAACTTAATTTTGTGCATTTGTGTCAGAATACTTAGTTTACAAGTTTGGGGGCTCTAATTGTATAATTTACTTTGATAAGTAAACAATACAATTTTTTGTTTAAAACTGCATTCAATATCAAAATTACCTTGGTTAACTTTTGATAACTTGTATCTGTGGACAAAGCTAATAGTGATTTTTTTTAAACTTCACCTTGCCTGACTTTAAAGAAATTAATATATTAAAGATATATTTGAATCCTTATTTTAATTGCACCATTAAAACATTTCACTTAAATTATTTGACCATTCCAGTTGGTGTACTGTTCTAATTTCTCATTGTGTAGGGTGATTATTTGCCTGTCAAGAGTCCGCATGTCTTGCTCACTGGTCTTTAATTTTTGTGCAGTAACTAAAGGCAAAGGACTAGATGCACTACTGTGTGAAGAGATTACACGACTGTACCCTTTTGCACTTAATCGAATAGTATGTGGGGACTTACAATCGCTTGCATTGTTTCACAAAATAAATACTTCATGTCAAATACTAGATAAGCATTTAAGTTGTTTCTATGGTCTTGTTAGATGAGCTCAGAATAGTGAATGAAGAGCACTTGGCCTTCACCTAGCAGTAGCACCATTTATCTGTGAGGTCAGTGAGACCAGTCCAGTCCTAAGTGTAAAAAGACAATTACAACAAAACATCCAATTGGCTTGTATTTGGCCACTCTACAATTGAGTACCCTCCCTCCAGCAGTTACTGAGAACAAGAAAACAGAAGAGAGGCTGGGTGTAGTAGTGCACACCTGTAATCCCAGCACTCAGGTTAACCTGTTGCTTTTTGGAAATGTTAAAGCAGAATGGTGGGGGTGAGAAACAAGACAGGTTGACATGTTGCTTTTTGGAAAGGTTAGAGGGGACTTTGTCATTAGGTTGACTCACATTTCTCTGAAGGTTTAGCTTATTAAATTATGTGGCATTTAACAGTGACTAGTGAAGCCTGTACTTTGCTAAGAATGGCCTCCAGTTAATTTAAAGATGCAAGATAGCCCACCACGTCGAGGTAGGTGCCAATTCCCCCTCAACCTACACTTAAAGAGAAAGGAGTTCAGATTTCAGAATTTAGTTAACTGGGATGGTTGCACTCCTGAGCTGGAACCCACACCCATATTTGCACAGTAATCAACCTGGGGGATTAATACCCAAGAATCGGACTTTTACTTGTGCACCCTTGCCATTCAACACGGGTGAACACACGCATAAACCCAAGTGTAGGGCCTGAAAGTGCACCAAAAAATCATCTTCACAAGCATCCTGTAGCTGTGAGGTTAGGCTAACTGGATAATTAAGTTTCCCCAACTGTTTTGGGTCCGTGCTTGTCACGGTATCAAGTTTCATGTGGGGCCGGGGATTTAGCTCCGTGGTTCCGCCGCCCGCCTCGCAAGCGCAAGGACCCGAGTTCTATCCCCGATACAAAAAAAAAAAAAAAGTTCCATCTGTATTTTTGCCAATAGGTAGGAACTGCATCTTGACCAGAAGTTAAACCTATGTAGCTCCAGCCCCAAGCCAGTTCTTGTCAAATCCAATTGTGGTCTTACCTCTCCTGCCTGCCATTCCAAATCGTGTCTCACCAACGTGGCAGCTCCGGACCTGGCATGCAACTTAGGGAGGCACAATGTACGGGCACATTGGTAGGTCACTCATTACGCAGCGGGGCCTGCTGCATCCGTTTTAGCCTTGTGAAAGTGTAAGTTTTCCCCCAGCAGCCGGTGCTAGCCCAGGCCGCAGCCGTGTTGCTCGTGGTTAAAAGAGCCGCCCGCGAATGGCAGGGGGCCCCAGTTATGCGCGAGCAGGTTCTCTAGCGCCGCAGCTTGACCCCCGGCGCCACGCACAGGCGCAGCGGGGGCCCAAAGGCAGCGCGTCACCGACCACACAGACACCAAGCTGGGGGCCAAATCACTTTATTGGGGGGGCTTATAAGTGGGGAGAAAGCGCTGAAAATACACTTAAGACTCTGAGATCCGACGTCCTTGGCAGGGCTGGATCTGCAAAAACAACAGCGGTAGGTGAGCGAGTGTGAGCCTCCCGACCCGTCTCCTCCCCGCCGCCACTCCCAACAACCGGCTCAGATTCCAGTTCGCATCACCCTCGTCAGCAGTCTAACACGTGCTTTCATTTATATCATCACGGCCAGCCAACTGCCTCACAGCCCACTCCCGGGCCAGCCCAGCCATACAACTCAGCAAGCTAAGGTTCCTCACCTCTCCCGTTTCGCCGTCTCCAAAAGACCGAATAACCCGTGGGGATTTTACTTAAAGAAGCATAACGGAAGTAGTAGGGCGGGCTTTACCGCTATCAGCCAATAGCAAGCCAAATTTCTGATCACATGCTGTAAAAGAATCATCTAATGATTGGCGGTGCTCGCTGAATTCTCCGAAGTATAGAGTGGTCGCACACCGACCGCAGAGATAGGAGGCTACGAGAAGCCAGTTTTGTTGTTTCCAGACCTTTTTGTTTTGTTTCCTGGTCCCGGGGATCGAACTCAGGACCTTGCATTTGCGAAGCAGGCGCGGCGCCAATAAGCTGCATCGCCGGCCTCCGTCCTTGTTTTTTAAAGAGTGGCAGGGGTTTTTTTTTGTTTTTTGTTTTCAGTACCGGGGATCGAACTCAAGACTTTGCACTTGCCAGGCAGGTGCGCCACCACTGAATTCTTCCTAATTTCTTCGTACATCTTGATCATTGACATGTAATTAGCGCATCCCTGTACTGTACACAAAAGAAAACTTTGGAAACAGGAGACAAAGGCAAATTTGTATGACATAGTCTTTGCCACTAGCTAGGCTAGGATCTGAGGATGTAAAGGTAAACAAAACTGCCCTGAGTTCAAAGTAACCAGTGGCAGAAAGAACTTTTACTATATTAGAAAGTAGAGTAATCTACACCCAAACCCTAACGTTGTGATGAATTGGTCACTGAACCTTTTGGGGCCCTGGTTTCTGAAAATTAGGGATGCCTCTCCCACCCCGAAATTGTGAGGATTAACGAAATTAATGTCAATTGTCTGACACATTCTAAGTGGTAAGCCTTTGTTTTAAAGGGGGTGGGGTGATGTGCAAAAGTCTGATTCCAATATTTTAATAAATGCTACAATAGAACTAGGAATAGTCTACTGTGGAAGCCGGAAGGAGAGAAGAATTGACTTTGTGAAAGCTAAAAGTGCTTTCCAGAGTGTATTGAGTTTGTTTTGTGAGGCCAGTGCTGCGCTCTTCACTGGATATACAGGTAGATAGGCAGTTGAATAAGATTATGGCCTTGCTTTCTAAGAGCTGATTTTAATCTGGAGAGGAAATAGTAAAAGACAGTCATAATCCCTGGTTATCCTATTGCTTTTCTGTGTTTTCCTTGAGTATTCTTTTCCCTTTTTCTATCTTTTTTTTGGTACCGGGGATCAAACTCAGGACTTTGCGCTTGCAAGGCAGGCACCGGAACCACTGAGCTAAATCCCCAACCCATTTTCGCTTTTACTTAAGAGAAACTTACCGGACTGGTGGTATAGGTCAGGGTGGGGAGCTTTCCTAATGTGCCCAAGGCTATGGGGTTCACTTTCCAATACAAAAAAAGAAACTCTCTTTTGAGACTATTGCATTTCAGCCTATGAGGCCATAGTTGAGTGAAGTTCTTACTTTCTTTAGTTTTTGGGGGTTTGTTTTTTTTTGGTACCAGGGATTGAACTTGGGAACCTTGTGCTTTCGAGGCAGCAGACAGAACCACTGGACGAAATCCCCGGCCCATTTTCCTTAGTTTTCACATGGTCTTTAAATTTTAAAAACTCCTCTTTGAGGGGCCAGGAATTTAGTTCAGTGGTTCTGCCTGCTGCCTGTCTTGAAAGTGCAAGGTCCTGAGTTCAATCCCCAGTACCAAAAAAAACAAAATTCCTCTTTGATCCAAAGCAAAACATAATTATTTTGGCAAGGTTTTAGTGTCTTTGAAAAGATTATGTATTTTTATTGCTGTTTAAACTTCTGTTATTTCAACATTTTTTACATTGTGATATAGTGTGTACTCTAGGAAATGTATTGAAGTTTTCATTGTTACCTGAAACATGGTCAATTTTTATAAATCTTCCACAGATTTTTTAAATGATATTTTCAGTATCATGTACAAATATGATATAAAATATTAATTCATAGCCTTATATTGGCAACATATTTTGTGTATTATTTACTTGATGGGAAGTATGTTTACTGTCATTGATTACAGTGATAAAATGATTCTTCAGATACCAAAACCTATTGAGGATGCAGAGCAATAAGAACTTTGATTTGATTTGATTTTTTATTTTTTGGTGCTGGGGATCGAACTCGGGTCCTTGCATTCGCTAGACAGAAGGCATAACCACTGAGCTAAATCCCTGGCCCAAATCCCTTTAAAAAATTTTTTTGGTACGGGGGATCAAACTTGGGACCTTGCGCTTGCGAGGCAGGTGCCGGAAGCACTGAGCTAAATCCCCTACCGGTTGGTTGGTTTTTGAGACAGGGTCTCACTAGGCAGTTCAGGCTGCCCTCTGACAATCTTCCATACCTCAGCCTCCCTAGTCCTGGGATTACAGGCATGCACCACTACTCCTGGCTCAAGAAGTTGAATTGTTTCTTATAAAGTTAAACATTCACTTACCATGTGACTCAACGGTCCCTGAGTACCCAAGAGAAATTCACACAAAATCTCATACATAAATGTCTATATAACAACATTATTCATAATTCTCCCAGTACTGGCAGCACTCAAATGCCCTTTAATGAGGAAATGCACTTGCAGATTATCCTACTTACATACTGAGACAGGATAGAAGAAATAAAGATAGGTAGAAAGGAGACAGGGAAATTGGGTAATTTTGAGGAAGTTGTAGCTTTGAGAAAACTACCTTCAAGACTTAATCAAACTTATAATTCTTTCTCCTTCCTAGGCCTGTTTTTCTTCAGGCTCCTCACTCCTAAATTCTTAAGAATCAGGGCTGGGGATTTAGGTCAGTGGTTCCACCGCCTGCCTTGCAAGTGCAAGGTCCTGAGTTCAATCCCTGGTACCAAAAAAAATCGATAAATCCAAAAACTTTCATTCTCAAAGAAACAGTAGTTAATTGGATACCGTATCTCCGAACTTCAAACACATACATGCAGTTTGTATTTTAACCTAGTTAATAAAGTTAGTTTTTGTTTTAGCTCAGTAATGAGCAATCTGAATTTAAAGAAGCAGACATTAGATAATGATAAATAACTGAAAACATAAGCAGGGCATGGTGGTGCACACCTGTAATCCCAGCACTCTGAAGGCTGAGGCAAGAGGATTGCCCAGAGTTCCAGGCCAGCCTGGGCTACAAAGTGAGTTCAAGGCCAGCCTGAACTACATAGCAAGACCCAGTCTCAAAAAACCCAAAACAAAACAAAAAATCCATAAACATCGTACATCACCCTCACCCATTGTGATCTGTCCACTTGACTTGAGTAAGAACCACCTTGCAGATTAGAAGAGTGTGTCTGTGAATGATTGACACTTAGGCCAGTGGAGGGAGGAAGAACCACAGACATGGGTGGCACCAACCAATGGGCTTGTAGCCTGGATGAAATAAAAAGGGAAAGAAGGAAGCTCTCCTGTCTTCATCCTCACCTTTGGATATCAGTCTCCAGTTTCTTCAGCCTTCCAACACAGGCTCACACCAAGGACCCTACAGTGAACTCCGTGCCTTCTACCTTCACTGGTACTGCATCCTTGATCCCTCTTGTTCCTGAGCAGTTACTGGATCTTCCTGGATGGCCATTGTGGACTCTTTCTCTTCTGATCCTGTAAGCATATCTAATAAATTCCCTTGTGAATTATACATATACTTATATTGATTCTATTCCTCTAGAGAAGGCTAATACAGCTGTTTTAAGGATACTCAAAGATCACATAAATACCCCCAACCCCAGACCACAGCATATGTCATCCTCAGGTATCTGCACTTTTTCTGAGTGTGTGCTTTGTTGATTCTACCTGATAAATCTGCCCATGCCTCACAATAATGCATCCTGAAATTCTTTTCCTAGATGAGAATCACAAACCTACCCAGGGCATGTTGAGGGCCACATCTTCTATTTAGGGAGACTTCCTTGCACCCCATCTGGCTACACATACAGCTGAATGCTACTTGATAAAATGCAGTCAACTATTGATAGATGAGATGTTTGGAAGGTTCTCAGAAGCATTTTTGCTGAATTAAAAGAGCCAGACTAAGAAGACCATATGATTCCATTTATATGACAACCTGAAAAACTAAACTGTAGGAATGGGGAATAAATCAAAGGACAGAGCTTCCAGGGATTAGGGTTATATGGAGCATTTCACCAATGGACATCATGAGCCATTTTTGAGGATCATGTAACTTCTGTATTTTGATTGTGGTGGTAGTAACATGACTTTATGTCTTTAGCAAAACTCATAGAACTGTTCACCAAATTTTGCTGTATAAATTCTTTTTCAGTGCTTGGGATTCAACCTAGGGCCTTTGTACTGAGCCACACACACACCCTTCCCTGGCCCTTTTACCTTTATTTATTTATTTATTTATTTATTTATTGATACTGGGGATCGAACTCAGGACTTTGTGCTTGTGAGGCAGGCACAGCGCCACTGAGCTAAATCCCCAGCCCTATTTTTAAATTTTTTTAATTTTTAATTTTTTAATTATTTTGAGACAAAGTCTCACTGCATTGTCCAGGTTGGGCTTGAACTTGCAATCTTTCTCCCTCAGCCTTCCAGAGTGCTAGAATTACAGACATGTGCCACCACACCTGGCTTACTATATGATATTTTAAAATAAAATTTAAAAATTATCTCCCCATTTTTTTTGTTTTGTTTTGTTTTGTTTTGTTTTAAGACAGGGTCTCTCTATGTAGTTCAGGCTGGCCTTGAACTCACTATGTAGCCCAGGCTGGCCTCAAATTCATAGTGATCTCCTGCCTCAGCCTCCCAAGTGCTCAGATTACAGGCATGTGCCACCATGCCCGGCCATTTTAACATATGTCTTCCTTTTCTCTTCTTTTTCTTCTTCATCTGTTTGTTTTTTTCCCGTAGTACTGGGGATTGAACCCAGGGCCTTTGAACTGAGCTACATCCCCATTTTGACTCCTGTCACTCAAGCTAATGTTTTTTTGTTTTATTTTTTGGTACCAGGAATTGAACTCAGGACCTTGCACTTGTGAGGCAGGTGCTGTGCCACTGAGCTAAATCCCTGGCCCTAGCATCTGTACTCTTTGTTTTTTGTTTTTCTTTTTGGTACCAGAGATCGAACTCAGGTCCTTGTTCTTGCACAGCAGGTGGCGAAACCACTGAGC